GGTCGTGCTCTTGTTCCACGGCAGCTCCACCATGAGCTCCAAGTAGTTTCTGGTCAGAGCATATTCCGGCATTGACTGAGGCATTTTTTTGAGTCTGTGGAGAAAGAAGACATAGCAAACGTGTTCAAGGATAAAGAATTCCATCAACACAGAAAAACCAAGCTGACCTCCACGTCTTGGTCAGACATATCATATATACAGGGCGTCCCAAAAGATGTACACACAACTTTGAATAATTATAAAGGCAGTGTTTACTAAAATACCTTTCAGTTTTTGCCCTAGCTGGTCTGGCTCAGTGGATAGGGTGTCGGCCTGCGGACTGAAGGGTCCCAGGTTCAATTCCAGTCAAGGGCACAGGCCTGGGTTGCGGGTTTGCTCCCCTGAAGGGGACCTGCAGGAGGCAGCCAATCAGTGATTCTCTCTCATCATGGATGTTTCTCGCCCTCTTTCCCGCTCCCTTTCTCTCTGACATCAATAAAGATATATCTTTTAAAAAAAATACATTTCAGTTTCAAAACTGAGCTATCAGCGGTTACAGTGTATACATTTGGGGGGAACACCCTGTATTTGTTAAATAAATCTGAAACAGTCCTTTTAAAATCTGGCTAACGACGCATTTCTTTTGCTCTGAAGGAACGCTACAAAACAAAATTAAAGCAACGCCCGCACACTGGGGGGAGGGGAGGGGACCCCGCATCTGACTCTGCCCTGGAAACGCGGCCTGGTCAGCGTAAGGACCCCCGGGGTCTCAGGTGGCACCACCAGGTCCTCCTCAGGGTGAGATCTAAGCGCCTCACTGTGTGTCACATGGTAATTATGTATTTTCTCTTATTTTTTTTACTAGGAAAAATCCTGTCCAGTGGGGGTGGGCGGAGCCTGCGGGGATCAGCCCTCTGTGGGAGCGCACTGACCACCAGGGGAAGCTCCTGCACTGAGTGTCTGCCCCCTGGTGGTCAGTGCACATCACAGGACTGGTCGACCGGTCATTCTGGTCATTCTGCCGTTCGGTCACTGGGCTTTTATTATAGAGAATTATCATTTTTAAAAATATATTTTTTACTGATTTCAGAGAGGAAGGGAGAAGGAGAGAGAGAAACATCCATGACAGAGAATCATGGATTGGCTGCCTCCTGCACGCCCCCCACTGGGGATGGAGCCCACAACCTGGGCCTGGGCCCTTGACCAGAATTGAAACTGGGACCCTTCAGTCCGTAGGCCAAAGCTCTATCCACTGAGCCACACAGCGAGCGGCTCGGCGGCCAGCTGGGGAGGCTGCACGGGCCTCCCTTGTGAAGGGCCGGCGCGCGGGCAGGCGTGGCGCTCACCTCTTGACCTCCTTGAGGCAGACGCGGCGGGCCGGCTCGGGCATGCTGGACGTGCGCACCTTGCAACTGCGGGCTCCCGCAGGCCCCGCGGGGGAGGCCTCACTCCCCCTCCCCCTCACTCCTGCCCGCCCACCACCGTCAACCAGCCGCTGGAGGCCGCCTGCAGCCGGGCCACCCTTCATGGAGTGTCCTGTGTGGTAGTGAAGGGATCACACATCGATGGGGGGGAGGAGTGGGGTGAGGGGGTCAGTGGGGAAAAGAAGGGGCCATCTGCGATACTTTCAACAATAAAGATAAATTTTTAAAAAGAGATGCCCTGGCCGGTTTGGCTCACTGGATGGAGCGTCGGCCTGCAGACTCAAGGGTCGTGGGTTCGATTCCGGTCAAGGGCATGTACTTGGGCTGCGGGCACATCCCCAGTGGGGGGTGTGCAGGAGGCAGCTGATCGATGCTCTCTCTCATCAATGTTTCTAACTCTCTATCTCTCTCCCTTCCTCTCTATAAAAATCAATAAAATATATTTAAAAAAAACCAAAAAACGTGAGAGTGAGAAATTGTCAGGGTAGTATCCTCGTGAGTTTGGAATTGTAAGTTAAAAAACCTGTTGTCTCACAACATGAAAGATGTTGTCCCTTTACTTTTAGTTTGGTTTGAAAGTTTTTTATTCCAGTCTGACTTTCTATTCCTTTGAGGTGAGTTTATGGACTGTTTCCTGTTCACATGCTTTCTGGTAATTTCTTTATTGGTG